CAGCGGGCGGTGCGGCGGGTTTGTTCTCGGCCTGGAGGCGTACTGAGCTGCGGCTTACGGGTGCGGGTGCATGGAAGGCGACCGCGGAGGAGCAGAGAAGGGCCAGGGCCAGCTTGCGGAACATGGTCATCTTCTTAGGTGAACTCTGAAGGGAAGGAGAAGGGCAAGGAGCATTTGTGAATGAAGCGGAGGACATGGCACGAGTTTTTCGGGAGGGAAGAGCGAGGAAACGTAGGAACAAAAGTGTAGGCTCTTGAGGGGCACCAGTGAAAAAGTTAACGATTCTCAGGCCATGGGGGCATGCCATGCTATTTCCCACACATTAAGTAACGTAATATGCATACCAAAGAGGTAGCTTTTCGAGCGGTATGCTTATAATTCCCGGGCAGGGGACAAAGCTTGAAATGAACTCAAGATCAGTTTCGCGTCGGGAGGTGGGAAGCAAATAGCACGACTTTTCTAAACAAGGCAACCAACACCGCCCCCAAAAAATGTATTCGCACGCGCAAACCAAGAACACACCTCTGTTACCACCACCTCCCCACTCCCTCGCGCCTGTGCCTCTATTCTGAAGCACCAGGAGACGGGCGGCAGACGGAGGCGAAGAGGAAAAGCGGGTGGCGTGCCCGTTGGGATCTTCCTCAAGCTGTGAGCACGCCGAAGCCCTCATATCCCAAGCCCGGTACCCTGAAATGGGCCACCCCCTGAACACCACCACCCGCGGCCTGCCCTGCAGGAACGACGGGGAGCGAAAGACACAGTCTTGCTGATGTTGGCGATGAATACGCGTACTTTCCTGTCTTGGCGGATGCCACAATTTCTTTGCTTTAAAAAGGGAATGCCATCGTAGCGATTCGAGCGCCGTGCTAACCTCCTCACACAGCAAACTGTCTTTCCCCTCGCGTATCAAACTTTATAATGCCTATTACATGCATGACTTATCTTATGTGCAACTTTGCATAGAAACGAGCATAGCATTGTAGCAGCAGTATTGCAACCTGCTCATTTCGATGTCTGTCTTCACCCTTGAACTCCGCACAAAACATTTTTCCTCATCACTCCTTGCTGTGGATGATTTTTGACGCTCCTCATCTCTCAACCACATAATGAAAGCCGATGTCAGTCAAGGTTATATGGAACGTAGATTTCATTTCTGTGCTAGCGACGTGCTTTCCATATACACATCCTGCTACACGTGCAACTTCCTTGTCGATGATGGCCTTCTCTGTCCCTGAGTGCATAAACTACAACACACGTAACAAGGATGGTTTGACCGCTCCACAATTGGCAAGAACAGGAGATGCTTCAAGGCCAGGGACGGCTCGGGCTCTATTTCCGCGAGCTTCGGATTCGGAGAAGGAAGAGGAAGAGGAGGAAGAGGAGGAGGAGGAGAAGGAGGAGGGAATGGAGGAAGGGTGTGTGCTCGAAACACAGACGCTGACGAGGACTATCGCAGCCGTCACACCCACTATCACTGCTACAGGTATTGTAGTTGTGATCAGCAACAAGCGTTGGCGAGATTGGCGGCGCAAGTAAGGGCAAGCCATGCGCAGCTTATCTTCAATGCTGTAGCCAGCGCCCGTGCCGCAGTAGGACGCGCGGTGCGAGAAGCTTTTGAGGATAGCCCTGTGCGGGTATACATAGACAAAATTGTAAAAAGTCTTCGCTGGGAGAGTTAAGATCCTTTGCACGCTTGCATCCATGGTGACAATGACTGCGACGATATGAGCACGCACCTGAAATGAGCCATGACCACCGACGTGGCGCGCTTCCGCCAGCCATCGCCACCATTTTCAGACCTTTCATCAGTTGGAGGCTGAGATGGACCTTCTGCTCTAGACGAGGCCCTAGGTGAGACACGCGCTTCCTCTTGCTGCTGCTGCTGCTGCTGCTGCTCCTCCTCCTCCTCCTCCTCCTCCTCCTGCTCACGCCCTCCTTGTCTAGGCGTGTCCCTACGGGGACTGGCCTCACGCCTTGCTCCATCGCTTGGATACATACCATCTGCACCTTCCTCTTCCAACATTGTGGGGAGCTCGATCATCCTGCCGTCATTCAGGTTGAGAGACGAGTCCAGCAGAGGACCGTCTCTTCGTTCATCCTCACTCCTCAAAGCCCCTCCATCAGGATGCAAAGTTAACACCGTAAAAGTCCCGTCCCCTCCATCCTCTTCCCGCAAACTTAGGCCGTTGTGTTGGTTGCGCTGGTGTTTGAGTTTATGTAAGAGAGGTGCAAGTTTTCAGTTGAGGCCAACAATTCTGTACCGTGACACCACCACAAATCCGCCCTTATTACCCGGTCAAGAGTCACTTCCTCTCCTTCTCCATCTATAATGATCCAAGATGCCGAGAGTCGATGAGGTTCACGGGGTGTTGAGGGCTGCATATCGCTTCCCCTAGTCTAGGGGCACGATGAATGCTCAGTCACAGCAGCAGGCAGCTACCTCAGCTGTCATGACGGCGGAGAAAGCGTGACAGAATCGAGACGATGAGAACTACTCATGCCACAAACAAATGAATTGTCAGAATAAGATACATACACGCGCTTGGAGAAGGTGCTTGGGATGTCATTTCGGTTTTGCTTCCTTTCCCAGGGGTGGAAGCAATTGAAGATGGAGGCGCCCGTGGCGATCCTTTCTTCTTCTCGGCCCATCTTGCCCGGTCAGAGGGCGCCCCAAGTCGTTAAATGAGGGCATTGCACGGATTATTTCCACTGTACAAATGTGCACATTGTGCTATTTTGATGCTTTATTTATCGATTAGATGGTATGCCATGTCAGCTTCCTAGCAATCTCCGGGCCCACTGTCCCCCTTCGCTCTGAGCTTCTATTTCCGTCACCTCCCCCTCCGACAACGTTCCCAGAGATATGTGCCCGTACCTAACGCGATGCAATGCTACGACTGGATAACCCGCGTTGGCCAAAAGACGTCGAACCATACGATGCTTCCCCTCGCTGACGCCGACGCGAAGGACAAGCTCCTCTCTTGCATTTGATTTCCTCCCCTCTGCCCCCTTATCTTCCTCTATGGAATTCACTTCGTCATCTCTCTCTTCTATTTTTTTCCTACGCATGACCTCCAATAGTTGTGCCTCATAAATTCCATCCGCGGTCTTGACACCTGCAGCTAACTTAGCTCGCAGCGCTGCTTCAAAATCTGCTTCTTTTCTCTTCTTTTCTTCCTCATTTCCGTTCACCCCAACATCAATGTCTACCATCGCCAAATATTCCCTTTGCACATTGCTGGACGGATGTAAAAGACGTTGCGTTAATTGACCGTCTCCTGAGAAAAGAAGCAGGCCCGTGGTATCGGCGTCCAGGCGCCCTACAGGGTGGAAGGTCTTGGCAAGGCGGGGAGGAAGCACATCTTCCAGATTAGGTCTTCCCATAGGATCTCCCATGGTGGAGTGAACGCCAAAAGGCTTGTGATATACAACAAGGAGGGGAAGCGGTTGTACAGGTACGTGATCGACGAGAAGGACGGCATCGGAAGGGATGTGGAAGGAGGGGTCTCTGCAGGAAGGGAAACAGAGGTGAATGGAGAGAAGGAGTCAATGATGACACATGATTTCCCGTCATTTTTTTCCCCGTGACTTACTTGACCACTTTCTTGTTGTCTAAGGCCACCTTGCCTCGGCGCACCAGGGCCGTCACCTCTGTTCTTGTCCCCACCCCCCGGTTTGCGAGCAGACGATCCAGCCGAAACATCTCCGCCTTCTCCTTCCCTCCCTTCTTTTTCTTTTTGGAAGAAGCTTTGGAAATGATTGAGATTTTACTCTCTGATCCAGTGCTTTCATCTCCTGTGTCGCTAGCAGCATACGGAGGTCTACCTTGATTGCTATCTTCGGTGCTGGAAAAACGCAAGACTCGTGATCGACTGGGGAAGAGAAAAGAAGTGCCATGGACCTTGGTGCAGACAGCTCGCCAAAACGGTAATCTTGTTGAGGCGAAACCTATTTTCATACATGATCGTGCCTGTGCAGGTTGGGATCGAGCGATGGTCAAGCGTATCACAACTGTGATGGGGTGGTACGTCTGACCAGTGTGAGGACGAAAGCATCCAAGGCGTCCTCACGGTTGAAAGTTATAAAGTGATGTATCAACAAGTAGACGCACCGAATTTGCTGCCATGATCACCATTTTGAAAAGAAGTAGGGCTAAAACAACCTGTTTCCCCTTGTGCTGCTGCCTCCAGCCCGTCTTCATCATCACAAGCCAGGGGGAAGAAACTTGAGTCGAAGAAAGGTTTGACATTGCAGCGTCAAAACTTATTTTTTACCTGAGAGATGTGAGTGGTTGGTAAATGCACAGTCGGACCACGGTAAGATGGCAGTGTAAAGTTCATTTTTTGAAAGAAAAAAAAAGGGGATACGGGTAATGCGCACGGCTCGAGCCCAGGGCTGGCGGGGGCCGGAGCGATCGTCGTCCCTCCAGCCGCGTCGGTTGGATCAAATACGCGGGCCAAAAGACAAGCGCATGATCTCCGCGATGTCATATCAGGAAGATGAAATGCCCTCATGTTTGAGATCATAGCATCACGGTCTGATGGAGCGCTCAGTGGTGTCGATTTTTGGTTTTATGGCTGGAATCTCAAGCCGTTCAGGAGCCACAGACCGTAGCTTCATCTTTAACATGCACACTCTGAAGCTTGGGCTGTATAAGCCACATCAAATACCACATGGCAATGTGAATTCTACATGACGGATACCTGTCGCACTCCTTGATTGTTTTTTGGGACCCCGGCTTCTCGAGCCGCTTGATCGGTCCCCGTGAACTGGATGCAGATCTGATGTGCTAGCCTGAGTGCATATGGAGTGCTTACACTTACGTTTGCCCCACAATGTCCCATCCCACATGCTTTTCCCTGAACACATATAGAGAAAGATGAGAAGGCACCCATGGAGGGCCCAGGAGTTGTCAGTCCTCCTCCTGGCGTTTGCCGCCCTGGTTACAGCTCGACAGTTGATGTGCAGAGGGCCCCTCTCCTCGACGTCCTCTCGACGCACGCACCGAGGCAGGTTGGCCTTTGATTACCCTGCCTACGACACCAACCCTGCTCAGTATGCCAGCGGAGGGCCCCCTCCTCCTCCCCCCCCGCCCGGAGGTCTCTATCATGCGCACCCTCCTCCCGCTCAGCACCAGGACATGGCACGAGTTTTTCGGGAGGGAAGAG